AATTAGACTTCCCGCGTTGTGAATGTTGCCTCGCATCCAGATTGCAGACTTCGGACAAACAATAATATAAAATCTAACACAGGACTCGTGTCAAATTCAGCTAACTTGTTACACTAGAGGCGAAACGCCAAAAATGCTTTTTGGAGGTCACTCAAGGTACCTCCTTACCTAACACTTCTGAAATAGGGGCTTATCAGACTCTCCAAGATCGTGGGACGTGAAAACGCATGCCTGTTCCAGAACCGCATCATTTTGTGCAATTTCAGTGCATACTTGTGGGGAGATAATAACGCCCAGTAATTTGTCACCGCGAAACACGAAATGGATTGCATGAACTTTATGTGTACTTAATTTGGAGGCAATCAGGCTCTATATGAGATGTTTTGTGTGGAGAGACTCATCTTTGAATATTCCAATTTAATGATGATAAGGGCCAGGGGAACGTTATAGCAAATGAATATGTGAATGATGGAATATATAAAGGTAATCAGAGAATTATATGGCGAACACGGTAACCGCGTGCTTCGCTTGAGCTTAAATCATTTAAGCCGAGTACGGTTTCTTGGAAGTTATAAGAAGGTGCTTGTCAGGGAATTAAATGTAGCTTGAAAGATAATTTATCTCCAAGTTTGATGCAAACAAAGCGGAACATCACCTGTGATATCGCTCTTGATCAAGTCTTATGCGGCTGGGACGAACAATGAGGACAAGCATGAATAGATTTAAAATTGATGCTGCTAGCAATAGCGGAAACGACAACTTTCCACTGTCCACTCATGAACTCAAATTGCCAATGGGATATAACTACTTTTTTGGCTTTCTTTGTTCACACCTCATTGATTACATAACAGCCGGGCAGAAGAATTTTGGGGCTTTTCGGAGTTTCGTTTAGGCATTATTTTATTGCAAATGCCATTTGATATAGTAGGATAGAAGAAAATGACAGGCGTCCCAGAATGCCAAGGTGAATTTAGTCACGTGTTAACGATGTCATGTTTACTAGTATCTTTCATACCAAGTGGAACAGATAGGCCAAAGTACGCGGACAAAACTCTGTAACAAAACTCCGTAGTTTGACGAGTTTTTTAAATTCAAACATTCTGCTTATTCAGGTGAATGTTCCTTAATGGTCACTCGGACAAGGGTGTTAAACCATACCTAGCCCGATAACTTTCACCTTTGAAAAGAGTAAATATTATAAAAACCAAGTCTAATTACACATGTTAAAATAAATCCCCTAGTAGTAAAAGCCTAATTAATCCTTGAGGTTGATAGTGGCAAATAAAGTAGCTATCATATGAGTTATTTGCCGAACGTCCAAAGCATCCAATTTGGAAGGACGCAATTTCTCCTCCATTCTCTTACTGAGTCTGGCCCATAAAGATATACCTCAAACTGAATCATAAAAATTTAATGTAGACCACCATCGCTTGCTTATTCTAACAAACCGGCCACTGGTTTATTCCATGGATTAACAAGCCGATCCTAGCAGCTAGATTGCAAGCGGTTCATCGTCGGTCAAAGTGAAATCAGTGCTGAGTTGGGTTGACCGTTTCAAATTGTGTCCAAACACTGCTTGTGGGTAGATCAATTTTTCGTTTTGGAATAACTGCTATCAGCACCAGCACCAGCACTAACAGGTACTTGGTTGACTGTTTGCACTTTTCACTGGAGGATTACGGAGTTCATAGAATATAACATTGGTAGAGATTCTATACCAATATCTTTGTAGCTCTTAAACCTGTACCTGATCATTCGAAACGCCCTGTAGTTTAACCATTTCAGCTTACAAAAGCAAGTACTTGGCAAACGTACAAGGTATCCGAGACATACTTCTTTCTAGAAATCTATCCCGTTAGGTTGACGCATCTCCTTATAGGTCCATTTAGCTCAGTACTGTAATTCAAATATTTGTCCTTCATATTCAAAAGTCCGAGGCTAAACAATTTCATCGATGTTTATGCACAATTCAGTTTCGTTACCATCTATTCCTACTGTAAAATTTGAGGCTTATCCCAATAGTTTCAGATTGAAATCTGGAAACCAGCTTATAAGTTAACCTGTTTTTATTAAGTAGCAGTTTGCCGTAACTCTGCGAATCACCAAAGATGTGCCACTAATCCTGAAGAGTAACTCCCAGAACCCTTTGGTAATCTGGTTTTCCTCAGTAAGTAAGTAAGTCAAAAGTTCTTTTATGATGTTTAGTTTCCTCATAGCCTAGTTTCTGTTTACACCTTTTGTAATGATAGAGCTTATAGGTGCCGTTTACGTGAGGCTTATCTTAGAGACTTAAGTCCACTTTTTTTAGTTTCCTATGAGTTTATCTCACGGGAGCATGGACAGAAGCCCTGGAAAATGGCTTTGAACCAATATCATTATTGTTTTAAAAAGTTTCCTTCCAGATCAACTGACAGGGAGTTGAGCACTGGTAAGTCATACTTAGTTGGATCCGTTTTCCTCTTTATTCAGCCTCTCAAGCACTAAACATGTGCAAAGCGACGTCTTTAAGCAGGAAGCCAATCAACTTTACTGGTTCAAACTGGTTTAATGCATGTAATGGCTTGTTACAAAAATTCATCCATTTATCACCCCCAATGATTAAGTACACATGGCCTACAAAAAAGGAAGTTCCGTCGGTAGTGTTTTGCCTAGGTTGAAAGCAAAGTTAGCTATTGTTAGATCTCATTTTACCGGCTACAGACTAATCGCCATCTGAATGGTGATGGATCACTCAGAAGTGTGTTGGTAATATATTTTTAAGTGCACATGTAACCTTAAATTGCAGAGAAGGTTGATCGGAGATTCAACGTGGTAGCGTCTGAAATGTTAATGCACGTTGTGCACATCGTCCCTTGTAAAGGCCCCGTGATAACTACAATTTGACTATCTTGAATTAGATCTCAGCCTCTCAGTAACTGCTACGCTGGCTAAAGATGAAAAAAATGACTAGATTTCGTCCCCAAATGGTGGATTGACAGAGAATGTACTTCTAAGCGGGGGTGTAGATGCTCGTGGGGGTGGGCTGTATGATATGCTCACGTAGAAATCTGCGACATTCAGTTACTCTTAATACCGAAAAATCAGCTGTATTCAGTTGGCAAAAACACTGAACGTTGTCGTGTTCTGGATTCAGGCAGAGCAATTCCGTTTACGTGCGTGCGCGGGCGTTGCAAAGTACGAAGCAAATTCACAATCCTTAAAAAAACGTCCGACTTATTGATCTGAGCGTGTCTTGTCGTCCACTCCCGCCTGTCAAACGTAGACAGGTTTCCTGAACTAGGGTGACCCAAAAGCTATTCTTTATCGCGATTGTTTTGAATGCCGACCCCTGAAAGTGGACGATGGATAGCAAGACATATTCAGGAGCGGGCAACTACCAACTACCAATCTTATCCACTAGCCGGCAGTTCAGGTCGACTGACGACGGTGGTCTGTAGGTGCTCTCTTCATAGGTGGGTCTATAGCCGTAGCAACTGACGGTAAAGCGCTGATTGGCCCGAACGACCAGCAGAGACTCTGACTGCAACACTCAATGTTCCCTTCCCACGAGTTGCTGAAACACAGACACACACATCTTATACAAGCAGGCAATCAGGAGTTACGTAGAATAGATTGCTCTACAAAACGACAAAGTAAAGCTTCGTGAATAGAGAAAAGATTTGATTTGTACTGTAAGTTGGGTTGGCTTGTCCCAGTGACTACGTCCGGAGTAAACAAAAGCGAAATGCAGGTGTGCACAACTTTAAGTAGAGGCAAGATAAAATTAAACTGATCGTTCTGTGTATTTGTATAGTAGGATATGGTATCTTTGGTGATATGAGAACAACAAAACTTGTTTTTGCAATGCTTTACGAGGACCAGAAAAAGTTATCCTTTTAGCTGTTATTTAAAAAAATACTCTAGTTGCTAACAAGTGAGGAATATGCCCAACAGAAATAAGTAAACTCGATTGTGTCACATTTAAAAGTACGATACACTGATCCTTCTTCAAGGAGAGCCAGACGATCTATATAGAACGTATGCTCTTACTGAAGGTCCTTCTGTCGTGAAAAAAATGACAAAATCTCATTCACGTACTTCTGCAAATAGTGCGGACGAATTTGGAGGTAACTCATTTATTTGGGCATTATCAACCCAGATTATGAGCGCTGTATACATCAGCTTATTTTCAGATTCACTTGTTTCTACAAAGTTTTGTCGAGGTACATCCGCCGTTTATTCTCTAAATTTGAGTATTATTTATTTTGATGCATCAGGTTGGAGTCCAAAATTATATCAAGAACTTCAACCAAACCAATTTTTTAAATTCATTTTAATTAACTGCCTACCTTGGCACACGCGCTCCTCTCCTAGTATGCAGACGCAAGATAAGCCATCTTTCGAATAAAAAGTGATAGTGGATGCCCGTTAATGGGGGCCCGTGATTCAGGCCATACCATTTTCAACTCATCTCAGGTGTTTTCCTATCTAAAAATAGGGAACTTAAAAGATCTAAGTAGAAGTGACATTGTTTCTTGGGTCTATTCATCAGGTAACCGTGTTAATTTGTCTGGTAATCCATAAACAATGACAAAAATTCACACGAGACTGAATTGTGAATTTGTGTGTACTCATATAACCACAGGAGCCTGTTTTATGAGTAGGCATTTTCACTCTTTCCATCTGTTTCTTAAAATAAACCAATCCATCTGCGCCAAAGTTTTTGTGTTTTATAGTGTTCCCTGTGAAGATTGTACCCCTAATTTTAAGTATCGATTTGCAAGAAACAGCCGTTGCGCATCGCTTGACAAAGCTTATCTTAAATGAGGGGGTAATGTGAGTGAATTCACGTGAGCTACAGGAAAGCATATCGGACCTCGGGAGTGCTAGTGTCGCAATTGTGTAAAGTTAGTGTGATAGCTAACAACACGGGATTTATTTGCAACGGTGATTTCAACAACTGAACCCTCTAATGAAATACATTTGCACCACAATCAACGCGAACAGACAAGGAAACTCACATTCACTGTACAGAGCTAAAAGAAGAGATACACCAGCAGCCACCATAAGTACGATTAGTGTGACATCTTGGAGTGCTGCCCACATGAGTTGTAGAAATGTCTTAGGGGGAGTTGGTGGAATGACGTTGGTCCCAAAGACTTCTCGCCTCTGCGTCAGTTCTTTGTTGAACAGTCCTATCAGAAAAAAAGAATAAGGTCGTTACTTAACGATCAAAAAGTGTTTATTTACAATCGCCATTCTCAATTTTCAATGCAAAATAGTTCCCTTTGGATGTTTATTTTAAATACAAATTCATAGCCTGCAGGCAATTAGATCAGTATTACCAACCATTGGAAATGGGCAAAAATGCAATTTAATGGAATATTTCAGACACCTTCGGAACTTTAAAGTCGCCAATCTGCTTACTATTAGAATGGTCAACTTGATACATTACTATCAGTATTGATCCTAATCGATTGAATCCAAGCAACGGCAAGGTCGTCCCTAATTTTCCGCGGGATAGAATACTGACATGTGATAACCAATCGATAGCAAAAGCAGGGTGGCAATTACCTCTGTCTCATTTACCGGGTAAGTAAAATGAAAAGCGCAGTCACAAGGTGAAGGAATTGGCTGAGCAACTGTAAATTCTTAATGATCCAATTTTGTTCCGCTTACAAGGAACAAGCTGAGACGATGATTGTGTTGAGATTTAAATAAATAACTATCAAAAAATAGTTTCCAAACTAAGTAAAGATCGCTACCACAAATAACCTAGAATAATACTTCTGCGTCCAGTAGAATTCCAGAAAGCTTCAGTTAAGCCATCATAAAGTAGAAATGTAGAGTCCAGGTACTTAGGGTTGGAATAGATGCTTGGTCGCAGAGGAGGTGGAAACGGTCCCAAGCAACCGATGAACAGGGAATTCTAACAAGTGATCAGTGTTTTAGTTACGGCTGCTTGAAACTGATTGCTGCTAATTTCACTACGCTGATTATAAAGAGAGGCGCGGCTTTTCATAACTATATCACAGTAAATGTGTGGTTGTATTCCAGCCATGTGAGTGCCTCCGGCACAATTGGAAGTCTTCAGGTCAGCCAGTACCATTTTGCAAGATTCAAACATAGTGTAGCCTATTTGACAACTCACGCACACCTAATAGGCCTGAGTAAGGGAAAACTTCGAGTACAGTTGAGCTTCACATGACCCAGCCAAGACTTATACCGTAACTATTCGCACACACCTCGAATCCATTGTCTGCTGGTAATCGGGTCATTCAGTGGCAAATCGCGTTAAAGTTTCTCAAAATACCGTGGTAGTTGGTTTACTGCCTGAGTGGCTGTTACCCGTTTCGAACAAAAACTTCACCGAAACTCATATTCCAAATCATGTACACTTGTAGCAACGGGGGAATAAACTAAGGAATGTGACCATGAAAATGAAGCTTCGGATGCGAACACCGCATTATTTACCGACCAACAAGTTGTGCATGGTAGGTCTTTCTTCTGAATAAACTGTATTTTATAAAAGTATTATATTTCAAATGTCGATGTTACCAAAACCGATTAATCCCAATCGCAACCAATCATACGAAACATGATGCCAGGAATCGTGTAGAAGCTCGAAGTTCAGTATTTATAATGAATGTATGAAGTGCCTACTAACTTTGCAAGTCGCGTTTTACACATCATGCCTGCGCACTTATTTAAATAGGTCACCCAGCCCACTCAATAAATGTGCGATGAAAATGTTCTTATAGCAGAGTAGACATTGAACCTTTTTATCAGGAAACATTAAGAAAGCAACTTGGAAAATATCTGTGTGACATTAATTTGTTTTGGATACCGACAATCTAAATCCAAATCATGTGCTACCAAAAAGGTTCTTCTTTTATTTGACAACCAGTTGTCTCTGGTTCGGATGAGCAATAATTATGTCGTTGCCGCTTAATCTGATAAGCTGAAACCATGATGGAAGGCTCCAATAAACACAGCGTCATTGTTGCGCCCGTTGTCATCTGTTATGCCAATATGACGACCTAAGTTTCATCATAAGGACGGTCAACCGATGGCACATCGGCGTTTGTCTAACTCACACCGAGTGAACAAGCAAACATGTTCAGAGATTTTGGGAAGATTTTGTCCTGTAAGTGCAGCCAGTCTATACTGAAAAGCCAAGAAGCACTGTACAGTTGCTTCATCCTTGTTAGGGGTCAGCAACAATGCGCATCACATGAAACTTCAAGGAGTCTCGAAACCGCGCTCTCCCGGCTAGTAGTTGGAACACTTAACCGTTTGACCACGAACGGCTGGTCAGCAGTGTGATTAACTGGCATTCAGATAGAATATATTGCCAGGCGCCCGTCAGTCATAGGACCCACATCACGTGGTAACATGTGCTGACTGGCTCCTTGGGCAGTGACTCCTCAGGCGGAGGTTTCACTCACCAGGTAAATTCTATGCTTCGCCGATATCCCAAAATCGTCTCACACTACCAACAGCTTAGAAGTAGCTCAGAGGAAGAACAAGTCACGCAAATAAGTTTGCACAAGCAAGTGAGCAAGTTTCCGCTAGCAGATTAATCATCCATTTTATTCCGAATCTAATACAAAAACATCAGTACCTCATCTATTTTATTTGAAAAAACTTCTTATCATATAAAACACTGTGTAACCAACAGGACTTTGCATGTTGGCAGCGTAATTAGTCAAAGACACCAAGTCATTAATTGCACAGGAAGTCATAATTATTAAATATTCGACACTCTCAAATGTTCTCTAAAAAAATTTGTCTCAAAGGCAACTGGCTTCTCAGTCTGGAGTTGCAAAAAGATGCCTGAGAGGACAACAATACCAGGATACCACCCTCAGTCTTTATCACACTTAGCTCTTATTTCAAGGGATAGGAGACCAATTGACAGAACAAATACTGTGCGAGAATGAAGCAGAACAACCAAATTTACAGGCATTTGGGTTGTAGCGTAGAAAGCTATTTTGTCTCTCCATGATTTTCATCACACAGTAAATTATTAGGAAAGTAAATTAATAAAGCTTAGCTTTTTCCATTTCAAACGAGTAAGGACAATTTTTGACAAAATGGAGGGCATACCAGCCATGATACGACCTCACATTCTGTGTGCAACTAGCACTTCGCACAATCGATTTGGGTGGATGGCTCCGCCCAGTTAGAATAACCTGTGGAGAAGTGCAGAATCTGACCATAATAAAAATTAGCTGCCCTGTTCCTATAATAGTCGGTTGCATTCAAATTAATTAGCCTACGTATGAAACATTCGCAACGCATTTCCTTCCGCCTAGCATAATCATCTTAAGGACAGTGCTGAAAAACACCAAGAGTTAAAGACATTGATCTAAATTCATAAAACCTGACAAAAAGTGGGCAACTGTTTAGATTTGTCACGTATCAAGATTTTCAGTTCAGACAGAGCCTGTTTTGGCAGATTCACACTGATTTACGAAACTACGTCTATTGATCACAAGACGAGCTCAAACCTGAGCTTCAATGGAATTCTAGGGTATAAAAAGCTGCCGGCTTTTAAAGGTAATACACTTGTTTTCTGAATAACAAACGCCGCAAACGTCACTGTCACATACCAGCCATCGTCAAATTATTGTTCGAAAACGACCATAATCACTGACATCAAGTTTGGGATAAAAGAGGCCGTCTTTATCGATTTGCAGGCTGCCAATTCATTGCAAACCAAAGTTGCGGTCACTTGTGTTGAAACATAAAATCTTTGCAAAAGCTCACTCTTGATAAAAAAGTTATCCTTTCTTTATCCCTAGGTGATTATTGCGCCCAAAGTTTATTGCAAGAAGCCTCAAACTTACGCTGCGCTAGCTGGTGCCTTGAGCCTCAACATATGCACTAAGAATTAAACTGCTGCTTGCTCGATACATGAAGTCGACCTTTGAGCTTTTCGTGTGAAAATTTACTTTTCGCAGATTGCTTCCAGGATACCTAAATTCGCTTTGGTATTTGCTATTTAACAATTGTTTATGACATTCTTCAGTAGTAAACAGTGTGTCAACCTGATCCATTATTTCCGTGGAATGCTTATGAGCTCAACTTTAATGAAATAAGAAGAATCCATACGTCCAATAAAAAAAAGTAGACGATCATCCAGATAAACAAGTAAATTATCAGACTTATTAATAGCAATTCTGTGTTTGAGTATCCAAGCTTTCCTTTTTGTCAGAACCTCGTGAACCCGGCTAAACTTTGCTCACTGTTAACCTGAGTAAGTAAGTTGATGTACTAACACCTCATTTCGTAGTCTTGAAAATGAGAGTTATCCCAGATGATTTGTGGATGAATCTAAATCAACGCAACAGTTCCCTGTGAAACATCAGATGAACTATCTCACCTTTGTAATTTTCTGGCAGACCATATCAGAAATACCTTGATTTTGGCATAACCAGCACGAATCTTGGTCACACTCTGGAACACAGCCACGGACGGTAATTGTCTACACAACTTTTGGTGCAACCGTTCCATAGAGTCATTCGAGGAGTACCATACTGCGTACCATTTAGAAACTCATTTGGTTGTCTTTTTTGACATACGACGCTTTGTCAGCGTCCAACACTGGCCATTTCATGAAGCGAATGTCCAACCAAGAATTAGGAATGTTTCATATCTTGAATCATTTGTCTCCGCCTCTATATTTATGCGGATATCTTAAGGATCTATGGAAAGTAATTTTTACTTTAATGACCGTGTCTTCAGACTTACGCGGCTAAACGTTTTTTGCTCAGTGAGCCATGTCCACGTTCTGTTTGATTACAAGTATGGAAATTTTCCATCAGTATATCTACCAGGAATTGAACTATTCATAGATTGATAGATTGACTGAGCCACCAGTATTGTTAACAACTTATACACCAGTTTCAACCAGCAGGTAGGTTACATAATCAGCAAAATAACGGTGGCTAATGCATTATCCACCGAGCCATCAGACAGATGATTCATGTAGCTTACCATGCAGATATATTCCCTTCTCCAGACTTTGTGTTTTCTGTTAACACAAGATTTCCAGTTGTGGTGGTGATGAACCGCTTATTCAACATCACAGGGGTTCCATGCCAGAGTTATTAAGTCTAAAGCTTAACAGAACCTTTCGGTAGATGCTAAAAATCAGAACTTACATCTACCAACACTGTTTGGTTGTAAG